CACATCTAAAGTCATACTGTAACAACAAAAGACAAGGGCCAGGTTGTTGAATCAGTCTTGTTCATATTTTCTCACGGCCAATATTAGTGACCTAGACATTGACGTAAATCGATGTCTACCAATTGGCTAGCAGCCTGCTCTCACTACAATACTACTATGTCTTTCCGTTTTGCCATGTTAGATTACATTATAGCTTTTGAAGCCTCGAATACAATTGGAGAAACGTTATTTACTGCCCATTCAGGTAGATGTTGACAATTGGGAAAGTGTGACACGGCTGTACTACAGTCGAATAGCTTTCCTGTAATGCTCTTTCAACGCTCCAATTATCTCTCCAGAGATATAATTCGAGTTCCATCATTTCCCAAAATCATTTCGCTGACCGGAGTTTTTTCAGTTACTTGTTCCAATGACCCTAGGTAGTTCCCACCTACCTATTACATGCAAATGATCAATTCTGCAATATAGTGAGTGTGCATCATATACTTAAATCTATTTCTTCTTTATATCTTCGTTCATACAGAAGAAATTATGAGAGATTTGCTTAGGTGACATTATTTTCCGAGTATTATGCTATGTTCATTGAATTGTATCTGTTGTATCATTGTTCACTACATAGTAGGGAAATGAACTTAACTCTAAGAAAGAACCCTACCATAGTTTCTCATGGTTACTGTGTACCATACACCATTTACACATTCAAGTAATTGTATAGAACTAAATGCGTTGCTATAGCTCATTTTTGGAACAAACATTCAAACTTACTCTAGTTTATTTATGTCTACTAAATGATGCACTTCTAACTAATAATGTATGTCCATTCCAGAGAATGTTAGTTTTAAGAAAACTTCTAGCACAAAGTATATACCAATCAGGCTTGAAACTCATACCAAATGCGAGTGTTTACCTCAATGTGGGCCGAATTTTGAATGGACAGGAATTTTCTTAGAGTAGAGGTTGTTGAGAGAACGAGACCAGACTAGATAATGACCGTCGTAATGTGTATTCTGTCAATAACTTCGGTAGGCCATCTTTCAGGTGAGAAAAGATGCAGTACGATGACGTGGGAGCAACGAGATTTTCTCAGACTAACATTTGAACAGTGGGAAAAAAAAGTGTTTACAGTGGTTGGTCATGATAACTATGCATTTGCAGATATCCCCTCGTTTCAGTCAAAGGTTTTGTATCTGAATACACAGAGTGTTCTGTTCTGCTGGCTCCATTCTCACAAGTTTCTGAGATATTTTTGATTCAACAGGTTTCCAACTTCGAATACAAAGCATTTCTTCTCCTTTCTTTACACAGCGAGTGTAACGTCAACCTACTATTTGTGCTTTGAACTTGTTGGTGTTTACTTCTCCGAGGTCTGCCATCTATTTACATTCCATTGTTGCTGATGAGGTCAAACGTAATTGTACATTGTTAGTCATTGTACCCTACTATATACCAACTGAAATCGTGACTTTGTTGTTTCCTGGATTGAGCACGATATACTCCCTCTTCCAAGTTTTAGGCCCATCTCCCTTTCTTCTGTAGGTATTTCTCTCTTTCAAAATATCAGTTTGTGGATGATATAATATTGTTCTATTCCTTCTTATACCTATCGGATGCAAGTTAGATGTGGATGTTTAAACACGGAACCTGTTTGCAACGAAATGTTGGATTACTGCCTCAGTCACAGTCCTCACATGTTAATCCCGGAACGCGACAGTGTCATCCCTTCGTATAACGTGTCCCGTCACCACCAGCAATTACTGACTAACACTAGGTGTTTGTAAAAAATGTCCCATTACACTTTCGGACTACAATCAGCAATTGCTGTAGCTGGAACCGTATACAATGATCACCTTTCGTCGTCAGGCAATGCTGGCAGTCAAACACATACTCCGCATAATCTCTCACAGCTAGCCAGCACATTCCTTGTCTCAAGAAGCTACATTTTTATGTGCTAGAGACATTCTCATAACCCTTGTGGAGTAAGAACTGCGGTATAATCGCTAACCAGACTTCATCATTCTCTCACTAAGTCAAAGTTCTCCAAGAGTCCAGTCTTATTCAATCCCTCGGAGTGAGTAACACGGTTAGCTTCCCATTTGTCACAGGTTGATTCACACCTAATCAGTTAGTAATTACCTGCATCACTGTTCTCAGTGTAGAATCTAACTGATAGTTGGCAAATTTCAGTGAGTCCTGTTCTAATGCATGTAATTCATATGAAATCTTGAAAAACTCAGTTTTATCTTTCGGTTTAAATAAAAAGTTTGCAAGCAATTTTTTTCTTGTGCCTGTCAATTCAAACAGCAGATGTTTAAAATGACATTGTTTCTACCTCACTAAAAACGTTCTATTATCTCTATCCTCCCGATCAGAGGTTTAGATATGTAAACAGAGTAACAGTATGTAGGCCATCCAGGATGTCTACTACAGTCGGTATGGCACAGGTTTTCAATGTCGCCATGCCGATCAACTCTCTCGAATCAACAAAGGAGTTGTATTTCCCATTGGGCTTACAGCACTGGAGAGCTATACGAGCTGTCAGCTTCTTCAATATCATCATTTAATATTGCCTGAGAATGTCGTCCAAGTTCTCCTTATAGTTCAAATGGAATCCTACGTATTGTAAACGTTATCATTTCCCAACTTCCCATTGGGATTTCATGCCTTACCCTATCACATTACCCATAAGGGTCTACATCTCGAGTAAACAGCCGTTTGTGCTTTCTAACGAATACAATTATATTCAGTCCTTTTAATTCCATTTCTGCAGTTACCTTGCTATTCTCTTACATCATGATTGATCTGTACTTTGTAATTACGGTTTCTTATCATTATGCTTATCACCACATCCACTTCTCAAAGTAAAATCAGCTCCAAGGATTTTCGTCATAACTGGAGGTAAAAAGTGAATGAACTGACCTTGTAGTCCTCCATGTGAGCGATACTCGCTATCTTTAGCCCCATCTACTGATTGGACTATACATGCATACAGTATGACACTCCGACAATGATTCTTAAATCCTGGTGTGATCACGACCCCTGCATCTTGGTCATTTGCCAGAAATATAGAATAGATTGCACTTCTCTCAACTTTCCTCACAACTTTTAGTAAAATCAGAAAGAAAGAATACACATCATGCTGACTATAATGATTTCTTTTCCTCCTCTTCCGCTTTGCTGTAAGTAAAGCATCGATTTCTACTGATGCTCTTTCGTATCGCTGTAATCTGATGCTTAAACTCTCCAATATTTACTTGTCACTGGTTCATTTTCCGTATCCTTATTTCGACTACCGTTTTACTCAATATCTGTCTAGCTATCTTCGCTAGCTCACCAATTCCCATGGGTTGTGCCAAGTTATTTGAAAATGGCATACGGAAGGCAATCAATAAGTCGTGACGTCAATTATTAGTCAGTTAGTCACTTTGTTAGTCATAACTCAGTTACTTAGTGCCGGCCTATGAGCCAAATATGTGTGAGGGCTAATGGTACTAGTCAGTTACCCAAGCTGAAGTAGGTGAAGAAGTAGGCACAAACTCGGGACTCACAAACTGGAAGTAGATGCCAATGCATGTGGCCCAGAATCTTCGTTAAAATCATGAGCAGTGATTGGCGAAGTAGATTAGCTAAAATCAGAATGAACACTAATGGATTTTCAGCTAGCCGCAGAGATGCTGAATCATCAGCTTTTAATTCGTTGAGCTTTGTAACTCCACCATAAATTGTCCGATTAGTAACTTATAGGTCTTCTCCCCACCTGTACGCTCCACACTATCGCAGGCAGCCTTTGCCTGCCCTCTCGGTAGCGCGCACAGCACCGCTTTTGCTGTCTGGTTCTAGACGCTCACCAGCTTACCAAGTGCTTAGAAATCTCACAGGAAGCTCCGGATGTTCGTCTTCGAAAGCTGCCAGTCAAGAGATTTTCATCTCATCGAATGCAGCAAAATCAATCGTAACGGTAGAACAAAGTGGTATTTAGTAGTAGAATTGTTTATTTGCGATATTCATGCACAGTGATGGCGAAATATAAAAACCTTACACTGAAACTTCAATTTACAAAAGCTATTCGTATTCTACCTCTTTTATCTTCACTTTAGGTTCCCCGTAATGTTTCACAGTGATATTCATTTCTCCTCCTTGTAATTTGATCCATCGCTCCACTATTCGAGATTCTTACAGGAGACTTTACGAGTTCGAGTTAGTCCACAAACCACAGTGTTACAATCAAGCTGGGTTCTCTCTCTCTCTCGAGTACTTTTATTTCAGTTGAGCTGTTGTTGAAATACTGACTTCCCAGAACCAAACTTTTATTTGGAAGTTAAACAGTTGCAGGTGAAAATTCACCTAGTAAATGCTACAGATTGAAATGAGTAGTTGGATACTGCTCACGTCAACCAATAGTGCTTACTAACCACATCCAAGTGATCTAAACACCGAACAGCTGCTTCACTGTTTTGGAACTGAGGTCATTAGCAGTACATCCAGAAAGGCAAATCAGTTCAACCAACCGAAAACGGAATTTGATAAGTATGAAGAATTGACAACTTGCTAAATTGCTTAAAATAATTGTAAACACAGTGAATTTCACTAGTTCTCTACTGAAATTCCTAACAATTGAGTGGCGTTTAGTAACCAACGCATAATGTCAATAGATTGCGTTACAAAAAGCATCTAGTCAACACGTTAGGTATTATCATTCTTCATTGGAATATCAAGAAAAACTATAATTTGGGAATCATACATATCAGATTTCATAGGTGTGGGTGACTTCTCACTAAATGCCTGTCTCTTTAAAATAACGCTTTTTAAGTGAAACTAATAATGTTCATTTACCTGTTTACTAAACGAAATCTTATCGACATTACAGTTTAAGGATTGGGAAACTAACGAACTTTGAAAAACACTCATGCCATATCCGTGGACACTGCAAGTAATTATTTTAAAGATAAAATAAAATCCGGAGAATGCATTAATGAATTTTTCGACGTTTAAAATATTAATACCTGATATATCTGAGTGGGAAGAATTGTGTTGATCAGTATCCATTTCATACACGAAGTCAGATGATTGTAGAGAGGAACTGGAATTATCATTTGATTCATTGACTAATACAACATGAGATTCTAATCTCGGATTTTCTGTTTCCCCAACAGTGATCCAAGTATCACTGCATATGTCATATCGGATGATAGACTTTTCAAACTTTAAAGTGGGAATGTCCAATTCAGTTACCGGGAGATTTGGATTGTATGACGAGAGTTGTGAAGAAGAATTGTGATTCAGTCTATTCGCAAAGGAATCTGTTTCTTGAAAATGATTGATAATAACACCATCTGCTGAGAGTTGTTGGTAATCAGAATTTCTAGACATTGTAACACCACCAAATACAAAAATATACCGACTACCAACAGCAACAGAAGAATGCCTAGCTCTAGCCTGTAACATACACTTTCGTTGACTCCAAGTGGATCGAACCGGTGAGTACGTATAGACCGTATCCATGATTGTGCCTGCCTGTAAAAAATATTGGAAAAGAAGTCATAAACCACACGCAGGTTTGACAAGCCAAAAACATAATTTTTAATGTCAGTCAAATACCAATAGTGTATGAAACGCAGTTTGTGCTACTCATCAAAGTATGATAAATATGTCTTATTTCATTGGAATAATGCAACAGTCGCTTAGGCAATTTAACACACAAACAGTTTAACTTTCTTCGATAAATCGAATGAATAAAGTTCAGAATAGTATATCACTTATATCTGTAGAAAAGGAAGATAACTGTTTATCAAATAAAGTATAATTATATTTCAATAGTTTAATTTAGTTATTGGCAATATTTCGAGCAAAATCATTGCCCATATTTACACCACTGTTGGAATTGTTTTGTCTAAAAACAATGTTCCACAATGCACAAACGTTTTACTGACATTATTAACTGTTTATCCTTCCCTAGACATATTGCTTAGTCGACGGCTTGATGAGTCAATAAAACGATCTATGTATAGAAAACCCACCTGGACAGGATAGTATTTTAATTATCCCAGTTTGTGTCCTGTTCGGTACAAAAGAGCCTTAGAGTAAGGCAGCTCTTCAATAGGAATACAACGAATATGCACTGAAGACACACTTGATGAGGAAGAGATATAAAGTAGTCAGAATACCAAGACCCACTCTGAAACTCTGTCCTAAGAAAGACGTGTATATCAAACTACCCTATACGGGGGAATATAGCAGCTTAACAACTAAATAAAGACTGAAGGCTGTTGTTAAAAAGACTTTTTATGCAGCTAATATCATAATAATTCACAATGTGAAGCCAATATATCCATCTGAGCCCTTTGAACATGAGAAAAATGATGTCACATCCTCCCACTGTACTTAACAATTCGAATGTACATGTGGACACATATACATAGGGAGGACTCATCGGTCTCTGCAAATAAGGGCTGTCCTCAGAACATATTCCTAAATGTCTTTCGAAGCAAACTGAATCCCCAGAACCCATAAATGATGAGAACAGGAGACCTAGCTCCTCTACTGGGAAACTTATTATAGAGACAGGACATATAATTGACGTTTACACATCTTTTAAATCCATCTATAAAACGTGTTTGGGGCGTATCCTAAAAATTGCGGAAGCGCTAGCTGGCAATAACGAAGTTTAAAATCACCCTTATGCTTTCGAAAACAACTTGTCATCACACTAAACTTTCCTTGGTAAACCTTTATTTGATACCATAGAAGATGTACTATTACCTCTGCTATTTGGTTTAGTGATCTTCGTTGCTATTTTCACCTTTAATATGTCATTTTAACTTGACCTAAGTCTATTTTCTCACCCACCTCTTAACTCTTTATTATTTCCACATATGTATATTCCTATGACAAGTCTGTGTGTGATCAGATTGTTCGAAATGTGTTGCGCAAATACATTACACGATTCGCACAAACTACGTCTTCATATTGCTTTATCCGAAATTCATAAAGGGAACTGATGGTTTTAAATTTTTCTTCGATAAGTCAGTTGAAATCCCCCTTGAATCACTATGGTAGCTAGTGCAGTTTCCAACTGGGACATCATGTGGAAGTTACATATAGAAACACCTCAGAAGAGAAAGGATCATCTCTTCAATATTTGAGAAAATGAAAACGCCTGCATAGTTGTAACAATAACGACTGTTATAATAATGAATATCGCTAAAGCTAACTAAGGATTAGAATGAGCTTCGAATAGGCGTACGGTACGGTACAGCACAATTCAACTTCTGTGAAGAAACATTTGTGACCAACATCTGTGTTACAGCTAACAGATGGGTGACCGAAATCGAAATGCACAGGATGAAATTGATGTTAAAGTTGCTGAACGACAACTACATGAGGGAAAGTCGACTAAATACACTAAATACATTCCCAAATAGAAGTAAATTTGCAATCTCAAAGAGTAAAACATCTCCCGAAGCAGCTGCACTCCTTATGCAAGTCTAAATGCCAATCGATTGCCAGTTATTCCGGTTCGAATTCGAAGTAGACCATTATTCAACTCAATCATTTTTTATGACACAAAGTACAAGAAAATCTGATTGAGAAGGTTCTCTTATCTCTTTAAAACCACTTAGTTGAGTAATGATAAGAGGTTTCTGTCAGAATTACATCTTTTGCATTTATCACTTTGAAGAAAAAAACAAACTTACCTTAATTCCACCAATTACAAATAGAGTGTTTGCAATGACAGAAACAGAAAACCATGCGAGACTGTCCACTGGCATAGGAGGACAAGTTTGCCAAGCTGTTCTGGACGGAGAAAATGACTGCATACAATTTAAAATGCATGTATTTAAACCACCTAAAACAACCAATGTAGGACGCTTAAGTGTTGCAGGACGAGGAGGTAAATTGTTGATAAATGCACCAATATTATCATCATTTTTACAGACATCTCCATGAAGAAAATATTTGATAACTTTCTGAGCAATCTTGCATTCCTAAAATAATGTAAACATTTTGCATTTAAAAGTCCAACCACTAGAATTATATCAATCACTAGGACAGTGAATGAATAAAACGAACACAGTAATTACTACTCACTTAAGTGAAATATGTTAGGAGCTAGGGAACTGAATTCCTCTTTAATGTGTACCATGTGTAGACGTTTGAATAAAACAATAGATCAGTGATACTACAAAACTGCATGAGTCTGTATCTGTCGCTCACATTTGTCCGCGTTAAAACAAAGATCATGCTAAATCATGATACTTATCAAATCTGTCATAAAGTGTCTAGAGGAAACAGCTATACCCCATATGATTTAATTTCTCAGCATTTAAATCCTGCCTATAGAAGTAACAGCTACTTTACTATTCAAAAAAAAACAAATTGGTTTCAGGTGAACATACATCGTCAGGTAGAAGAAAATGAAATTATGAAGTCATCGGGGTATGTGATATATGATCGTCACACGCGGGCTACACGTCACACTGATCTAGGCACTCAGCTTTCAAACAATATGTACTTAGGCTCAAAATACAGTGGTCAGGACAAGTGATTAGCATTTGGAGAACATATACCATAATCGTATATATTACAATAGCACAAACAACCTCATACAAAGATAATGAATCAGTACACTTCATTTGTCAGTAAGACAGTAAAACAAATGGATTTTTCATTTGTTACTACATTTCAATAGCCTGAATTGTCTTCGTGCAAAAAAACGAAAAAATAAGATTATGGGTAGATGAGAAAATGAAACCCAGTCATGATAGAACAACAACAGACTTGACAGAAAAAGTATGAAATGCTAATGAGTTCAGTCCGTTTACGATTACACAGAATGAACATATAGATTAGTTTGATGGAAGAAAAACAACACATGACCCCAAAAGTTTGCAAAGCAAGTAGTTGATAATCATATGAGAATTATTTGAAAGCGGAAAAGAATTTTAATGGCGATTTCTAAATTTCACTTCCGTGAACCAGTAACTCTAATTAGTGGTATAAAATTCATTCAATTAACTATGATCAATTAGTATTATTAAGAGAATTTAAGGAAAGATACTGGAAATACCCCTTTGGTGGTGACAATGTGGTAATTTCTTGTTGGGCAACTATTGTTCGCATATGGGAAAAGATTAATGAACTATATCGCCATACTGCTTTTCCCTATGAGATTCATGCGACTAAACAAACACGATGAACGGTGCTTACTCCTACAATAAAAGATACACAGTGACATTTGTTTCAAGATGCAGTTGCACTGTGGTCAGAGCTTGCTGCCAGCCAAATTGGTAGACAGTAATTTATGTCAATGTTTACGTCCCCAATATTAGTCGTGAGAAAAATAAGAACAAAGACTGACTCAACAACCAGTCGCAGCAGGCTTTGCGTAAGCGGATACTGTTTACAGATAGATAATCTGAACTTCAATACATGGCCACAAAGAGATGAAAGATTAAAGTTCAGCGGGAAACCACCAATCAGAAGACTGTGTTTGTTTGCTTACAATAATCTATAACAATATACATGAAAATATATAAATATGTGTTGATTTCTTACATAAACGATTTGTTCCCTGGCCATGCGAGGCTTTTCGGATAACCGGAAAAACAAATTATACTGTGGCCTCATTCTGAAAGTGAGTCGTAAGATGATATCAAACTCGAAAACTTCTCAATAGTCTCCCTTCTTAATATATTTTTTTCCTTCACGTCCCCCAGTGGAACATAGGGCTCCAAGCTAGAGGCTTGAAGTTTCTGCAGCGGTGTTAATTTTTACGGGATGGGGTTGCTAGCCTCATACCCAACCTTTCCTCTTTACCAGTTTCACTTCTGGTTTAGCGAAGTAAAGGAGTGCGCCGGCCGGGGATCGAACCCTGGAACATGTGCATGATCGGCGAGTGTCCTAACCGCTTTGCCACCGACGCACTTCTTAATATATGGCTACGTCATTTTCTGCTTACTCCACGTCAATCGCAAATAATTTATGCCAAAGAAACACCATTCATAGTCTGATAGCGCAGCACTTTTTACAAAGCAGTTTTCCATATTGTAACTGCGTACAAAATTGAACATCATGATTCACTCTCGCTAGTACTGTACTATCCGACCGGGACCATCCATATATTTTGTAACCTTGAAAAACACATACAAAGGGAAAGTATTTTTATTCACTTCACCACATATGACCACCAGAGTTAGGACACTACGAATTGTCGTGAATGTTTTCTTGTGGAGATGATATGCAAATCTAGGGTGAAACAGGCCCTGTTAAATATATCAACACTGGATAGTTGTCCGCATACTATCCTAATTAATCACTATCACGCTTTGTGCTACCCACTTGCTTGCTAACTGACTAGCGTTCTGATGGAAAGATGTATGCCTTTCGTGAGAAGCTGTCGAATTAGCTGCAAAAAGTAAGACACCCATATGCAGTTATTTATCCTAGCAGATAATTTTACTGCTCTAATAGGTCCTATTCTTTCGACCTGACAACAGCGATCATTCACTAAAATGTTGTTCTGGACATCACAAGCTTCAGAGAGAGACACTGTCGCTTACAATTTTGTGCAGACAATTACTTGTTTCTCACCTACACTAACTCTACACACAACTAGGGACACTGTCTTATTTGAAGACCACCAAAATCGAGTCAACAATGGACTCAGAAAGTTCAATTTGTAATAAGTACAGATAGAGAGGAATTATGGAATATTGTCTCTTTCTTTCAGACACAACCTCGCCTAGAAAACTATGACATAGTGCCATGGGATGGAAGGTAGTTGTGTTAGGTTACTATCTATCAGTAAATCACATCACTCTGGGTGGTTCCAGGAAATCCTTGGAATTCGTCGCTTTAGACGTTATCAGATATGGCTGCGAATTGTAATCAATTGCGAACATGTTGCGATTTCATCACTTCCTATCTCTTTTTGAAAGCAATATGAAGTGATGAACCATTCCATTCTATTTTCCTTATACACCTAATCATCTTTTTGTGGCACTGCTCGCGGTGTCGGTATTGTACCAATTTCACGTTTAAATTAAATAGTGAGAATGCAAATTACCACCAAGGCGTAATTCACAGCATACATTATATTTCAAGTATTCTTACCAAAATCAAAGGGTTTTTTTGTAATTGAACTTCCAGCATTTCTTTTTCCAAATACTTCAAACGAATGTGTGACAGCAGTTGAGGTAAATAAGCAATCCGCGTCTCAGATACTTGATCAATCCAACTAATACAAGCATCCCAAACGAACTGTAAATACAGATAGGGAGAAAAAAGAAAACTCACTTATCGAAATTCCACACAGCATCATGAACTGTAGTACAATGAAAATCTGTGACGTATAAATTTTAAGTGTATGTTTACTTCATCAGCTGCTTCTTCAGATTATTATGCATGCTTTTAAGAATATGAATTACCCTTAACATAACCTTTGTAACAGAATAAAATATGACAGAACAAGGGGATAGTCATTCTCTAAATAATCAGAGGTTCATCATCATACCTGATACTTTTTTAGAAATGAATACAATACTTTTGAGTCTTTAGGCAGGTAAGTTGTGACCACACCAAATGTTCCTTATCTTTCACAGTATACACACCACAGTCGATACTTCTTAAATTGCAACATATACAACTGTAAATCTGAATAACAAATCCATATAGTGAGTTCATTCAATAAAAACATGCAGTACACAACTTACCTGTTCAGAAGGTACATCTAATTCATCTGAAGAAATATATGAAATCACAGTTGAAATAGGTAGAGTGACCCATTCACTCGACTCCAGTAGTAAGCTGTATAGTTGAAAAGCAGATCATGAATATTTATTTGAATTTAATTAAAGTCTTAGACTACTACATTATTATAAAAAGATGGAGATCCCAACATATAAGAACTTTCCCTATGCAAAATTTAACTGATTTTCTCAGGAATACGAATCCGCATATTTTTGTTTTCTTCTACCATGTTCATTTTATGTCGTATTAGTTCTTTTACTCTTTTGTAATAAGGCTGTTTACGCCCTGATTGTGTCAAATGTTACACCTGGAATATATATATATAGGAACGATTACTTTTTCAGTGTCTATCGTAGTTTCATCCCAATATTACACTGAAAAGGGAGAAGTGATCTTGGAAACTTGGTGACAGATTAGCATTGTGGAATGAATATTTTCCACGGAAGATTGAGTTAATAAATAAATATGTGAAGGGCTATACAATAGAATTAACTGTATGTAAGTAAGCTGAGATTAAAAAGAGCCTAACGAGACTGGTGGATATGGTGAAGTGAATGAATGTAGATACTTAAAACAATAGTACATAGGTTAATTTGATTACAGAAGAACTCTAAGTTAGCGGAATACCATCAAGAGACGGAAACATATTTCTCTATAATACATGAATCCTCCTAGTACTTTCTATTTAACTTATCGAAGGCTGAAGCAGGAAACAATTATGACCCGAAAGATATAATCAGCATGCAGAGCAACAATGCTGCAGGTGTCCAACTTTTCACATCTCACACTTACATTGGAATTGTAACGCAATTAAAAGGTAGGCAAGGAAGTTAAAGTCAAGCAATCAAACGGCGTGGAATGCTCAAGATAAAGGCGGAAAGGACAGAGCTACGGGTCACTCAGTTTTTAACTATATATCCCGAAGGTTGGTCACGTATCTCTTTGATATGTAATGTGCGTTGCCCAGCATGAATCAATAAATGATTAGTTTTATTAGTACAGTACTTAGTTCTGACCACTTTTAGCTGTCTCCCAAGCTAGTGCTATTTCCGCTGCAGGACTTTTTGAAGGAGGAGGTGGATAGGAACCGGTGACACAATCTAGCAACATCTCAGGAGTTTCTTAATCTAGCACAGCTTGGCGAAATGTCATGAGACTGGACGTCTCATATCTACACTTTTTAGGTGGTGGTTTCATGAAACATGAGATCAATAAAGGCAAATTTATGATGGTATCCTTAAAACATGATTTCGAGAAGACAAAGACAATTCCACGTTTCCATTCATTAATGATATGATTCATAAAAGTATAGCAAATCAGTATATTCACTTAGTGTGTAAGAAAACTATATTCAAATATTAGACTGACTGTGACCTATACGTAAATACACATGTATATGTTTAATTTACCATCTTAAAATTAATGTCATTTATATGCAAAAAGATGATAAATACCTTGGATAAATATAAGTTCACAATATTACGAAATTGTGCATAAAAGAGAATGAATTCATTATAACTGGTAATGTTTCCAATGTGAGTTATGACAACTATGTGTTATAGTTTATGATTGCATGAAAATACTATATTTGTGGGGGGGGGCAATGACTGAAAAATTAAATAAGGGTTCAAAATGGAATGTGTTTCAGGTATTACAAATGAACATATGCTTCTTTTAATAAAGTTTAACTTCACCACCATTATCTTTTTTCCACTAATTTACATTCTTTATGTGTAATCATGAGTTGTATAAACGATAATAACACAGCAATGGCAAGTATCTAGACAACTTATCATAAATTGTAAGAATAGGCGGTTAAAATTAGATTTAAGCAGTTAACATAGTACTAATAACTAATGTCCCAGCAACATTTCGATAAGGGTTCAAAACGATCAGTAAAAAAAGGAAGACATACGAGGAGTTAATTGATCTGATAACTAAATTCTAGAAAGTGTAGTGTCATAATGAGTAAACGGATTTATTTTTACGTAATTCCCTATGTTGAACGTGCCTAACTTCAGAACTTTTCTTGTTTTTTATTAGATTTCCTTTAAGTGGTTAGCATACCCCCAGAAATTTCCCATAATTCTGCTAATAAATACGTGGGCAAAATAATAATAATAATAAGAGCTTTATTCCAAACAGTATCTGTGGTACAGGTATGGAATTTTCAGCTTGCATTACAATATATTGCATCTAATTACCTCATAAATTTTATAAGATTTTAAAATCAAAAAGCAACACTCAGAAAAGAAGATAAATAAGATAAATAAAAAGAACAGCATTGCGTTTACATTTTAAACAATGCACCACAGGATATGAAATATAAAATTAGTGTGTAATAGAAGATGAGAACAACAGTGTAATAGTAACGAGGAAAGGAAAACAAAGACTAGTGGAACTATTTGTTAGAGTGCTGCAGTAAGTTGATCGTGTAATACCTAACGGATTTCTCATCACATAACAGCTGAGCCATATATGGTATTGTGGAGTTCTTGTACTTGGTAATCCTAGCATATAGCCTCCTATAGTTGCTTCTAGTTCTACCAGGAGAGAGCTGTGGATAGAGAGGATGCTCGGGGTCTGACAATATTGTATTCACTAGTTTCTTACATGACATTACATGTCTATCCACAATAGTGTTAACCAGTTGGTTTAACGGTATCCAAAAAAACAAGGTAGTATAGAATTATATCCCCTCTGGCTTCAGTAAACCACATATCTTCTGATGCAATTTTCACGAGTCTCTACGGGAATCTGAACATATATTACCTCAGCATCTACCATTGGTTGCATGGGTTCTACAGGTACGTTAAACCAATTCACATCCTATTTCAAATACTCTACAAATATTCAAATTCTAACAGCAATAGCAACTAGCTATTATCAACTACTCATATATTTTCATTACCACACTAAACAAACTTATTCCCCACATACATAATTCAATTTCACGAACTCCGCTACCACAATCCATGAAAAGTGCCCATCATACGGTTATTTAATCTCTTATTGACTCTACGTTCATTTCCAAACAATGTGCCAGTAAATCAATAACCATACTCCCGTAAAGCTACACTTCTTCAAACTAGTTCGCATTATGATTTTGTTCTACGTCAGAAACCTTCGTCGGATTGCACAATGTGATATTCCATAACAATCTGATACACACAAAACACCCAAATGTCGATATTCGCTGGACCCCACTTGCCTAAAGTTAAGGATCTGTGGTTGTTGTTAGAATATCCTAGGACTAGCTCCCGATGACTCGCTTGTGCAAGGATAGCAATTAGCTCCCAAGCAGAAAGTTCACCACTAGAGTGTATCGTACTGGACAGTGGCCTCTATAGCGTCCGGCCGAATAAGTTTAAAGTAGCAGGAAGAGATCGTGACAGTTACCAATAGATTCTGAAAGACTGCATTTACACAACCACTGGTTATTATCCAAATGAAGTAAGGCTAGCTGATAAAAGGTGAGTCCTTAAGAGTAGTTACATTAGTGCATAAAATCAATCCAGAACGTCTGTGAAGAGAGACTACTTTGCACCAACTTCTAAATTCAAGATACAAAAACATTTACCAAAAAACATGGTGTACAGTAAGCAATTCGTTATATCCTGCTGTATGGCTAGGACTTACTAAAAGCGGAAGAAATATTTTTGGCTATATGAAGTTCAAGCATTTGCTCACTTTGGGTGACAAGATAAAATATTGTCAGTAATTTTGAAGTATAACGTATTATTATTGTTCCTTTGGGTTCCAAGTGGAACATAAGACTTCAACAGTACATCTGCAATATGTCCTATTTTCTGCGGTCACCTTTAGTTGGCCCGACGATTGGACACATTCTCTTATTTCCTCCTCGTATAGATTCTCCCTAGGTCACCCTCAGATCAACATCCAACTGGTCGTTTCCCATTCGAGTTCCGCTCGAGCGCGATGTCATTTGATGTTCTCCTCAGCGTGTGTCCAAACTATTTCCATTTTCCTCGAAATATTTGTTGAGAAATAGGTCCTTGGTTCGTTCGTTCCCAGGGTTTCTTGTTGCTATTTCTTTCTGGCGATTTGATCCTCAACATACAGTGAAGGCAGCCGTTGATAAAATTCTGCAACAGGCTGTTGGAAATGCTTTTTGTGACGCGCTAACTCTCAGACCCACATAAAAGAACTAACTGACTTAAAATTGGTGTTGAAAACCCGAACTTTGGTCTTTATACTGAGTTGATTAGATTTCCACACTGATTCTAGAATGATGTCTGCCTTGCCTATCCGATTCTAGTTGTGACATCCTTGTCTATTCCATATGTCTGTAGTTGAAAAGATGCTTCCTAGATAGGTGAAGGAAGTCACCTCTGTCTAATTTATTCCGCTGACAGTGATTGATGCTTGTTGTTGTTGGTTGGTTACTTTCATCACTCATTTATTTATTTAAAAGCATAAAAACTTGGTACAATATGGCACCAAGAAGGATGCGCCACACAATAATAATAATAAAACAACACAGATCAAAAGAAAAAAAGAAAGAAGAGGAATATATATATATATATATATATATATATAAGTAGACAACGGATAAAGAACTTCATCTGGAAGAAAAACAGTCATGCCTAACAAGTTCAAACAGTATTCCTTAACTATCATCGGGAAGGAAAGAAAGAAGGAAATTGAAACACGTTCGCCATTGATTACGATTCTTGGCCATATCCGATAACGTTTCGAGCCATCGATTTGAGCTATCTCTCGGTCCCCAACCAGGGAGTCCTGACACACCAACCGATGCTAATCTAGCACAAAAATCCTTCATCCCACGACGCCACATCATGGACTGACTACCTCTCCGCCTTTTCCATCCCGTCCCAGGGCTAGCGAACAGAGACCTGTACGGAAGCCTCTGGGGTGGCATTCGCAGCACATGTCCAAGCCACCAGAGTCGGTGTTTCCAGATGACGACACTCAATGAATGGTGATCTCCACTGTGTTCAAACACAGGCCGCCGAACCTCAGAATCACTCACGCGATGATGCCATCGGACGCAAGCAATCCTGCGGAGACAGCGA